TTGCTATTTTATTTTACCATTCTTTTTCTATTTTTAAAAATAGAGCTTGTTGTTTGTTTAGTTTTTCATATTAACGAAATTGTTTATGTTAATTATTTTAAAATATAATAATAGTAATAATAATAAAAGGAAAAAAAAATATAATTATTATAGTACTCTTTATATATATTTGCCATTATTATATTTATTACCAAACTTGCAATGAATATTGTACTTGGATTAAAACATTAGATTAATATACATGTTAAAAAAAAAAAACTCATATTTTTAGCACAACTGTTTCAACTACAATAAGACAAAATATTAATAATTTAAAAACAAATATTTATTTTCAAATTTGAAAATAATAATAATAATAATAATAATAATAATAATAAAAATAAAAATAATAATAATAAAATAACAAAGATTGAGTGTTTATTTGTTTGTTTGTTTTTTTTTTAATTTTTTTTTAATTTTAATTTTTCTCCTTTCACTCTAAAAATAAAAATAATTATATTGAAGTTAAAGATCAATTTATTCAACACACACACATATACACACACGCACACATATAACTCACCCAAATAACAATTAAAAAGCAACAACAACAACAACAATAGCAGCACAATAATAAAAAGGATATAAAATTTTTAATTTTTTATATTTATTTTTTTTTAAAATTATTTTTCTTTTACAATATTCTCATACAAAATCTCCGTTATCAAACACCAATTAAATTAATAAACTTATTATTCTCTTTAATAACTCCTTTTAAGTGTTTTTTTATATTTATAAAATTAATTATTGTCTTCAATATAAATATTTTATATATTTAAATAATTTATAATTATTACACACAATTATTTTATTTTATTTTTTTTCTCTCTTTAAAAGTAATAAAACCAACAGAAAAAAAAAAATAATATTAATTTAAATAATAATTCAAAATTAAAATATGAGTATTTATATAGCAAGAAATAATAGAAAAATAAAAACCAAATCAAAGAATTATTTTAAATAATAATAATAGTAATTAAAGTTGTAATAAATAATTTAAATAGTATAAAACTTAAAATAAAAATAATAATAATTGTCACCATAAAAATAACAATAATTTTATTTTAACTTAAAAAAGGAATTTTAATTTTATAAAAAAATCACTTCTACTATAAATAAAAAAAAAACTTGTTTTAAAAAAAAAAGATCATTTTTTTTATTTAAAAAATAGATATATAAATAATATAAACAATAGTAATAATAATAATAAAAAAATAGTCAAAAAAACTTTAATAAATAAATTTTATAATATATAGTTATAAATATAGTGTCTTTTTTATTTTAAAAATTTTATTTGTTTTTTTTTTTTTTTTTTTTTTTTTTTTTTAGACAAATTTAAAATTTGTGTTCATCCCCTATATACTTAAATGTATTAATAACAAAATTAAACTCATAATTAACAAAATAAAAATAATAAAAAAGGAATCAATTAAAAAAAGAAAAAAAAAGAAAAAATTAAAAATAGAAATTTTTTTTTTTTTTTACTATATATATTTATTAATATTAATTAATAATAATAATTTATTGTTTACATCTTTAATTAATTTTTGTTCCTTCTATAAATAGGATTTTACACAATTTAGTGATTATTTAAATGATTCAATAATCACTATTAATGTATTATAATTCGAATACAACCTATTTTATACTTCCCAGACATAGGGGGTCGGTTTAAAATAATAATATTTATATAATAGTATTAATAATAATAGTTATAATTATAATAATAGTAGTAATAGTAATAGTAATAGTAATAAATTAGTTGTTTTTTCTTTGGTTTTTTTTTTCATATTTATTTTTTATTTTATTTTTTTTTAATTTTTAAAAAAAGATGAAAAAAAGAATTTTTTTATTATCTTTTAATCTAATCATTTACAAATAATTATAATAATATTATCATTACACAATAATCTTTTAAATCCCTCACTCTCACACTCACAATTTATAAAACTTTATAACTATATAGCAACACACACACATATAACGAATTAATATTTTTAATAATAAAAAAAACAATATTTTATTTAAATAACCAATATTAACTTTTATTTTTTTTTTTTTTTTTACTAATTAGAATTAAAAATAGAATAGAAGCACATATACAAATTAAATTATAGTTTTTTTTTTTTTTTGTTTTAAAAAAAAAAAAAAAAAATATTTTTTAAAAAAAACAAAATATAAAATAAAAATATATAATTAAATATAAGGAAAATTATAGTTTTCTTGTTGTTAATAATAATAAAGGTACAGTTTTTGGTTCACGGTCAATTAATTGACAACTATAAAAATCTCCATCCATTTCCAAATCTTTTGGGAAATATAGATCCAGGGTTTAGTTTTTTCCCAATCGTTGATAATTTAAAACTACACATTCGTTGCTACACTAATAAACATATGCCAAGATATGGGGAATTACTAATTTTCGATTCTGGACTCCCAATGTTTTCAACTGCCTATGGTAATGTAATTCAAAACCTATTGTCAAATAATACAATGAATAGATTTGGTATTTCGAATGCTTGCTTTTTTGATAGGTAAATATTAAATGCTTTTTTTTTTTTTTGATTTTTATTAACAATTTTTTTTTAAAAAAATAGGTATGGATATGGTTGGTCTCAACTATCACCAGAGGCAATGAGTGCACAAACATTTGTAAAAAAACTTCGTGCATCAATTCAAAGTATTTCTCTGATTGCCAATCAACAATTTTATTATGTCGGATGGAGCATGGGTGGACTTTTTGCTCAAACCTATGCAATGATGTATCCAAATGACCTAAAAGGTATTTTATCAATTGATGGTACCGATATAGGGGTACTAACCGATAAAAAATGGATAGCTATTCCGGATATTATCGATTTTGTTAATAGAGCCAAAAAGTTCCCAAATGAACAATTAAAAGATTTATGCAGAAGTGGAACTATTTCAATAGAGTATGGATGGATTTCAGATGATACACATCTTCCTAAAAGTTGTATAGAAAAATCCCAGGCTATTTTTACAAATCCGGATCAGAATTACTTGAATGCAGTAATCCAAGAACTAACTAAATTCATAGATAATGCAAAAGATTTAAAAAAAGCCTACGCAAATGCAAAAAACCCTTCTCAACCCCTTGGAAATTTACCGTTGGTTGTAATTTCATCAAACCCTGATACCGAACCCGATTGGTTTAAAAGACAAATAAATTTAACAAAACTTTCATCAAACTCAATTCAATTAAACTGTAATAATCACTTAGTACCATTCAATCAACCAAATTTAATAATAAATGCAATTGAAATTTTAATAGCTAAAGCAAAATTTAAAACATAAATAATAATAATCAATAATAATATATAAAATAATCATAATAATAATAAAGATAGTAGTCGTAGTAGTAGTAGTAATATTAGTTTAGTAATAATACATAAAAACCACCTGTTAAATATTTATAAAAAAATAAAATAAAAAAAAAAATAAAAACATAAAAAATAAAAAAAAGATACCAATAATTTCGATTTAATCAAGTTTTATATATATATTAAAAGTTACAATATATTTTTAAATAAAAAATAAAAATAAGAAAAAAAACTATTATTTTAAGTTTAATAAAATTTTTTTTGTTTGATTATTTCAATAAAGGCTCTATTTTTTTTTTTTGTAAAGAAAAAAAAAAAAATACTGAAACCATTTATTTTTTTTGTGTGTATTTTATTTGTTATCTTTTTCTTTAATCAATGTGATTAAAAGAAAATATTAAAGGATGAACCTTTTTTTAAAAGTAATAATTTTTTTTTTTTTTTTTTTTTTTTTTTTTTTTTTTTTTTTTGGTTGGTCAATTTGCATCTTCAATTATATTTGATGTGTCATCACTAAATACATTGTTATTGCTATCCTGGGTATAATTATCCTGGCCCTTATCTTGGCTATTATCTCGGTAATTATAATTATCCTGGTCGTTTCTTTGATTAAAATCGATATCATATTGTTCCTTCTCTTGTTGAATGTAATCTTTGAGTGATTTTTCATTTTCATTTTCATTTTCATTTTCATTTTCGTTTTCGATTTCGTCCTCTTCATCGCTTTCATCATCTTCCTTTATAAGTAGTGATGATTCATCGTCATTTCCTGTTGATTCGAGTACGTTGGTTTGAGGTGGTTTAAGAAAGAGATTAAAACCACAAAAAATAACTACCAATTCACCAATGAATGCTGGTATAAAGATAAAAATGCCTTTAAACGAATAACTTTGATCCAGTTTTAAAACCAATAAAATTTTAAAAACAACTGAACAAATGGTTAGAATTAATATGGATAAAATTTGACCAATTGAAAATGTAGCGGTATCTATTTAAGATTATAATAATAATTAGTATTACTTTAATTTAAATTCAATATTTGAATTCATAAATGATATAGTTACCTTTAGAACCGAGACTGAAAATAAATAAGAAGAAAGAGAAGCAAGATGCAACTATATCGCCAATGAACAAAGGAACAAAACAAACTGCCCATTTCATATCGCTATAGTTATCCAGCTTTAAAGCAATCATCAGACAGGCCGGCGTCATCATTAAACCCAAAAAGAACAGTGGATACCCATTGACAAAATACTTTGTTTTGGTTTGGGGTTTATCCTTTACACAAGCACCAAAAATAACAGCATATAAACCAAGCAATAAAGTGAAACCAGAGGTGAGTAGTAATGGAATCATCATTATGGAGAACCTAAACAGAGAGTATTTCAATCTTAAAATTGCAAACACCACAAAAAAAGATGATCCAACTACTGAAACACGATAAGATAACCTAACCAACCATGATACCAAATTTGAAAGAATTCTTGAATTGGTTGCAAAATAACCTGTTGCCAAAACTACATAAACTGGTACAAACAAAACCCAATAGTTCCAATCTATGAAATCGTCAATACGAAGACCAATAAAAATTGTAAAAACCAATAATGATATGCCTATAATATTTAACAGTATTCCAATTAACCTCCAAAACTTTTGTGAATTGCTTCTACTCTTTTTCTTTAATTTCTTGGTTATTTTCTTTTCGACATTAATATTTATATTATCATTTATTGATTTTTTATATGAAGCAAAACTATTGTTATTATTATTATTATTATTATTAATATTATAGTTGTTATAAAAAATCTTGTTTGATGGTTTAAATTTACTTGTTGAACTGCTTGTTGTGCTGCTAATGCTATTCTCCCTGGTTCTAGATTTTGATGGTGTACTTGGTGATGATGTTGAGTTTAATGAATCGATATTATCAATCATTATTTCCTATTGTAAATAGTATTATTATTATTATTATTATTATTATTATTATTAACTATTACTTTTTTGCCTTTGTGCCTTATTATTTTTTTTGTTTTTTTTTTTTGTTTTTTTGGTTATTTTTTTATTTTTTTTTTTGTTTATTTTGTTGATTTGGATGGTTTTTTAAAAAAAAAAACTAATTAATTTGATTGCTTTTTCTTCTCTTTTTTCTTTTTTTTTTTGAATATTTAGAAAAAATAATTTTTTAAATTAAACTCATAATTTTGAAAAGTGATTACAAAAAAAAAAAAAGATTTTTTTAAAAATAATTTTTTATTTTTATTATAATTGCAAAAAAAAAAATAAAAAAAATAAAATAAAAAAAAATAAAAAAAATAATATTTATTTATGTGTGTTAATATATATGTATATTATACTTTTAAAAAAAAAAAATACATATGTTTTGTTTCATTTTATTATTTTATTTTAATTGTTAAAATTATATTCTTATATGTTTATAATTTTCGCTTGAATTATTTATGTAAAAATTTATTATTGTTTTATATTTTAATAAGTTTTTTTATGTGAAAACTTAAAAATTTCTTTTTTAAATAATTTTATTTTTTTTTAATTTTTTTATTTTTTTTTAATTATTTATTTTTTTCATTTTTTTTTAAATTGCTCTATAGAGATTTTTTTTTTATTTAATTAAAACATAAATTTATAAAATATATATATAAATATTTAAACATTAATTCAATATAAAATAAAGTTAATAATTTTATATTTTATTCATTTTTAAATTAAATAATGTCTCTTTATCCTACATTGCAACATGCACCACACCCATCCCAACAACAACAACAACAGCAACAACAACAACAAGAACAAAATGTAAGCAATTAATAAACTAATTAGTTTACTAATAATAATAATAACAATATACTTACTCATTAACTATTTTTATATAAATTTAGAATGTATTATATGCAGGTTGGTTACAAAAAAAAGGAGATAAAGGTGTAGTATTGTTATGGAAAAAAAGATATTTTATTGTAGACAAAAAAAGTATTAGATATTTTACTGATCAAACACAACAAGAACAAAAAGGTTCTATAACATGGGAGACTATTTCTGGTATAGAATTTACAAATAGTGCTTTATGGAATGACTGTCGATATTTTCAAATAGAAACTGTAATTATTATTTTTTTTTAATTTTTTTTTTTAAAAATTAAAAACACTAACATATACAATTTATTTATCTAATTCAGGTTTCAAAAAGAGTTTATTATTTATTTACAGAGGACCAAGTAGTTTCATTAGATTGGGTAACAAATCTTCAAAAAATATGGAATTTCTATAAACAATCCATAGCTTTATTAGGTAATAATAGTAGTAATAATAATGAAAACAACACCAGCAGTAATGTTTATGATAGTTTGGATAATAACTATAAGAATAATGTAAATAATTTCGATAAAGCATCAGCAGCAGCTTCACCAACTAACAGCGACAGCAGTAATGGTAGTGTAAATAGTAATAATAATAATAATAATGTAAACAACTATGGTTTTGATGATTTCAATAACAATAGTAGTAATGGCCAATACAAACAATATAAAGACTTTTTAAATTATTCACAACCATATTATAATCATTTTTATGACAATATTGGCAAGCCAATCCAACAACAAAGCGATTCTTTATTAAATGTACCACCACGTCCACCAGGGCCATTACGTGAATTAAATCAAGAGTTAGTTAAAGAGATTTTACCAATGGAAGGAAAAGATTTAGAATTTTATTATCAATCTACAGTTCATTTTAGTAATTTATTATTGACAAGTGGCACTGACTATATTTTATTATCGTGTTATTTAATACTCAGTATATTAGATTGGGATAATAAAAAAACTCAACCATTACCATATGCATGTACTCCACCTTATGAAAGTGATATTGTTTTTCCATATTTTACATATACAATTCAATTGGTTAGAAATGTATGCATATAATATAAAAAAAATTATTCCTTTAAAATTTTATATTAATAAATTTTTTTTTTTTATAATAACAGGAAATTTTAAATAAATGGCCACAACAAGGACCAACCTATTGTACACAAATCGATTTATTTTCAAAAAAGAAAAGAAAGAATTTTCCATTGTTATTAGAAAATGAAGATAGAGAAACCTTTTTACAAAGAAATTTATTATTACTCAATTATATTTTGAAATCATTATTAACAGGTAACAGAATGGCAACTATTGAGGACTCTGTTTGTGTTTTAATTGATAGATTTTTAGAAAACTATGAATCTTTACCATCTTACAAGTATGGAAACTTCCTTTGGAAAGAGATTGAACAGGGATCAGATCAAAATGGTGAAACCTCAAGCAAGGATAAATTAACCATCAAAAATATTCTCACTGCCTATCTTCTATATCAGAAACTTCATTTAGAAAAGAAAAACAATACAAGACTTCAATTTGATTCCCTAATGACACAACGTTATGATAGTGTAGGTCACAAATTTTCACAACAACTTCACCAATTCCCATTACTCGCCCCATATCAAGGTCACATTCAAAGAACAATAGTTAGAATATTCTTTTTATGGCAAAAAGATTTACCATTGTGTGAAACCACCTCAACCTATGATGTCTCAATTTATAGAAATTATAAAGTTTTCTCAAGAATGCTTCAAAAAACCAACCACAATTTCCCACAACTCCAATCAGCCATTAAAGAAGTTAGAGACTCATTATTTAAAATTATAGAAAACCAAATGGGTTCATTTGATATAAATAATATTGACTCAACTTCTCTTGATAGTATTATTAATAATTAATAATTTTTTTTTTAATAATAAATATTGTAAAAATTTTATGATAAAAAAAAAAAAAAAATACTTTATCTCTTTTCTTTTTCTCTTTTTATTTTTTTTTTCAATAGTTAATTAAAAAAAAAACCTCTATTTATTAAAATTTTAATTTTGTTAATTTAATTAATTAAATTTCATTTTTAGTTTTATTTTTCGTTTTATTTTTATTTTTTTAAACGATAATCTTTTTTTAAAAATATTGCCTTTTCAATGAAATTTATGTTATTTTATCAATTTCAAACGAGCTTTTTCAGATTGAAAGACACATTCCATGTTATTTTTTAAAAAAGAACGTAATCCTTACAAAATGTATGTTGCCACTATTGCGCATGCTTTAAAAATTAAAAAACAAAAAAAAAAAAAAAAAAAAAAAAAATTATTTATTAAAATTTTTTTTTTTTTTTCATTTTTTTTTTTATTAAATTAAAAATTATTTAATTTAAACACTTATCATTATAAAAATAATTAATTGTAAATACAATGTCACAAAAGAAACCACAAGTTATCGAACCATTTGAAGATTTAACTGGTGTAGGTGCACCAATTAAAAAGGAAAGCAGAGAACAATATTTACAAAGAAGACACCAAGAAGAAGATGAAACTAGATCAGCATTTTACAGAGAAGGTATTAAAGGTGGTTTACTTTATTCTGGTATCACCGCCACTGGTGTTGCTGCAGGTGTTTTATTATCAAAGACATTTAAGAAAAACGTTACCTGGAATATTCGTACATTTATCATCAGTTCTGGATTTATTGCTGGTTTTTGGATTTGGGGTGAAAAGGCTTCAATGAGCGTTATTCAACAAAGATTATACAAAGAAATGGACCAATATTATAACCAACCACATGAAAATAAAAAACAATAATAACAATAACAATAACAATAATAATAAATAATAAAAACAAAAAACAATATAAATACAAAATAAACAAAAAAATATATAAAAAAAATATAAAAAAAATAAATAAAAGTAATAACATTGATTTTTTAATAAATATTTTCCTCTTCGAAAAATTATAATGTTGACATTATAATTAAATTTGTACAAATATAAATTTATATAACAAAATAAAACTTGAAACTTGGGTGTCTACACCTTGTAATTTTATGTAATTTTTTTAAATAATTATAATAAATAATAAATTTATTTGTTTTTTTTCTTTTTTTTTCTTTTTTCTTTTTTTCTTTTTTTTCTTTTTTCTTTTAAGTAATTTTAAATAGTTTTATATATATTGTAGTTTTATACTTGATTAATTGCTTGATTTACAATACTATTTACGATATATGTTTGAGCCATACCTTTGACTTTCTTTCTTGCATCTGTAAGAAAATAAAAAAAATATTAGTACGATAAAAATTAAAGTTATGGAATCTGGTAGTGATTAATAATTACCTTTTGCACATTTAATATAACCGTATAAATTGGCTGCTGATAAAGCAAAACAAACAATAACAACAACTAACCATAATAATTTGGCAGAGAAAATTGAAGAGATCATAAAGAAAATCCAAATAACTGGTAATAAAATAGTTGGGCCCCAGAATAAAAGTGATTCTGCTGGGTTAATTTGGCTTTTATCCTATAATTAAAAAATAAATAATTAGTTATTTTTGTCTATTTCGTCATATAATAGTAGTGATATATGTGATTCCTACTTGAACAGATTCAAAAATCCAATTGTTTGAACCATCTTCCTTAATTTCATTCCACCATCTTAAGCCTACTAATAAACGACCAGTTACGTTTTTTACAGTCCAAAAGTCGAATGCGCTTGCTAAAACAACAATAATAAATGTTAAAACAAAACTTAATGAAAATAATCCACCGAAAATAAATATTAAAATTGCTATAATTTTGAAAAGATAATGAAAAACGATTGCTATAGGATGTTTTGGTTTTGGAGCTGAGTTTTGTTCTGAATTATTATTACTACTTGAGTTTGATTCCTCTGGCTCATCTGAAAATGGTGAATACTATTGATTGTTTAATTATGATTGATAAAGTTTTGTGTATAAAAGTGTGTGATGGTATAAAATAAAATAAAATTTAAATTAATATTAATATTTATTTTCATTGTATTTATTCCATTGTAAAGTAAGTGTTATGGTGTAGTATTATTACCTTCATCATTTTTTAGTGTATATATTATATTTGTGTATTTTAAATTATTATATTTGGGGGGTATGGCAGTATTTATATGTTTTATATTTAATATACAATGATTCGTGATTATTTTGATAGATTTAAAAAACTATTATTATTTGATATTATTTGTAAATATTCTTATAAGCTATATAGTAAAAGAAAAAAATTTAATGTAATTGTTAATTTCGATTTCTCTTTGAGCTTTATTAATTTTTAAATTATATGTAAAAAAAAAAAATAATAATTTTTAAAAAAATAAAGAAAAAATTTAAAAAAAAATTCAAAAAAAAACATTTTTTTAAAAATATTATTTTAAATTAAAATTTATTTTTTTTTTGAATTTTTTAATTTTATAGGTTTTGTTTACCACCTTTGTAAAATTTAAGTTTATTATTATAATAACCATATTTAAATAGGATATTCTTGGTTTAATGATCAAAAAATGATTATTAAGATATTTAAAATTTACTTTATTAGTTTAATTTAATATAGTTTTTTAATTTTTTTTTTTTTTTTTTATGATCGTTCTATTTTTATGATTGTCTTTTTTATTGTGTGTTCTGTTGTTGTTCTTTGGTTATTTTATGTAATAGTCTTAAATCTTTTCTTATAATTTTACCAGTTGTTGTGGTTGGCAAAGATTCAATGAATTCGATTTCACGTGGATATTCATAGGCGGCTAAAAAGGTTTTAACAAAATTTTGGATTTCTTTTTTTAATTGATCTGTTGGTTTGTATGATGGATTTAATACTATATATGCTTTTACGATTTCTCCACGAATTGGATCGGGTACACCAACTACACCGGCATTTGAAATAGATGGATGTTTTAATAAGCAGTTTTCAATTTCAGCAGGACCAATACGATAACCACTGGAATTGATGATATCGTCGTCTCTACCAACATACCAAATATAACCGTCTTTGTCCTTTTTACCTAAATCACCTGTAATTAGCCAATCACCTCTATATTTTTTTTTAGCAGCAGAGTCATTATTCCAGTATGTGAGGAATGAAACTGGATCTGGTGTTTTTAATGCAATATCCCCAACTTGTTCTTGAAGGATATTACAGTTTTCATCAATAACTTCGACAATGTGGCCTGGAATTGGTTTTCCCATTGAACCGCTTCTAATATCAAATACTGTTGATGAGTTACCTACCAAGAGATTGGCTTCAGTTTGACCATAGAATTCGTTAACTTCGACACCGAATTGTTCTTTAGACCATGATAATAGTTTATCACCTAAACATTCACCCCCACTGCCTATTGATTGCATTTTATATTTCTTTAATGATTCGTCTTGTTTCATTATTTTTAATGCAGATGGTGGTAAAAATGCTGTATCCACTTTATGTTTTTCCATTAGTTCCACAATTTTCTTTGGTTCGAATTTGGTCATACGATGTGCTAATACTGTTACACCATAAAAGAGGGATGGAGCTAAAACATCAAAGAAACCACCGATCCAAGCCCAATCTGCGGGTGTATAAAATACATAATCATTGGTAGATTTTCTTAATGGAAAATGGTTTTGTGGGAATTGAATACCTGGTAAATGTCCTATTAAAACTCTGTGTGCATGTAAACATCCTTTTGGATTACCTGTAGTACCTGATGTAAATATTATAATTGCTGGGTCTTCTGATTTAGTTTTAACTGGTTCGAATGAATCTGAAAATGTATTTGAAATTTCTTCATTCCATCTAAAAAAAATAAAAAATAAAAAATAAAAAATAAAAAATAAAAAATAAAAAATTTAATAAAAATATAAATAAATAAATAAATAAATGAATGAATAAAAAACAATAACTATGACTATAAATACTTACTCTTCAAAAATACTTCCATAGTGGGAGCTTTTTAATTTTTCAGGTAATTTGCCATGAACAATAATTTTTTTAAGTGTTGATACTTTTGGTAGTATTCCTAATAGTTTTTCAACATTTTCTGGATCGGTAATAACACAAGATGCGCCTGAATTGGAAATTCTATACTCTAATGCTTCAGGACCAAATAGTGTAAATAATGGCATTGTAATCATACCTGATCTAAAAACACTAATATGCGAAAGTGCACAATCAAAACCTTGAGTAAGTAATACACCAACTCTATCCCCTCTTTTTAGTCCAATTTCTTTAAATTTGTTTGAAAATTTATTTGACTTTGTTTGTAAATCTTTGAATGTATAGCTATGAAAAAAAAATTTGTATAATTTAATATATGAAACCATTTAATATTTAAAATACTTGTAATTTGATATTATATATAATATACCTACGATTTAACATCTCCAGTGTTTTCATTTATTATATGTTTAATTGCAATATGGTTCATTTTAGAAGGATCAGTTGCATGCTTATCACACATTTCTTGACCAATATTAAAATAATCTGGGATTGACCATTTGAAACCTTTTACTGCATCTTCATAATTTGTGGTTATTGGAATTAGGTTTAATTTTCTATCTATGAATTCATATGAGTTTTGATTATTATTTGAATAAAATCTGTAGTATGATGATTTATTTATTAAATTGTTTGTTGTTAATGGTGATACAAAATTTGATTTATTAAAATTCTTATTAATATTGCATTTTCTTTTTAATAAATATATAGGTAATGATTTATTACTAATACTATAGGATGTGAATTTTGATGATATCATTTGTGTTTGTGTGTGAGGACAAATTAAAAAAATAAAAAACTAAAAAAATTAAAGAAATTTTATTTTTTTTTTAAAGATGAACACCTTTTCAAAATAAAAATTTAAAAAAATATCTTTTTTTTAAAATTTTTTTTTTGCAAAAAAAAAAAAAAGAAAAACTATTTTAGGTTAAATTATTTGTTTAAATACTTATAATACAAATATTAAATGAATAAAAAATTATTAGAAGTAAAAATCTAATTTATTTATTACAAAGAGTGGCTAATAGTATAAAAATAAAAATAAAATAAAAAATTTTCCAAAAGTTAAATAAATTTTTAAAAATACATAACTGTATTTCATCATTTTATAAATTCTTTATTCTTGCATTTTTTTATACTTTAGTCTATGGTTCTCAGAAAACTCTTTTTTCTTTTTAATAATTATTAAAATAAATAAAATTTATAAATTGATAAAAAAAATACAAAGTTTTCTTTTAATTTTTTATATTTTATATTTTATATTTTATATTTTATATTTTATATTTTATATATTATATTTTTTAATTGTATATATATAAAATAATTTATTTTATTAAATTTAAATGAAATCTTTTGGTATTGATTGTAAATTATGGCTATCTAAATATTTCTTAACCAATTGACCCAGTGGATCTAGCTTTATTGGTTTTACAACAAAATCTATAAAAAATTATATTAATTAATATATTATTAAATATGAAAAAAATTATTGTATTAAAATCAATATTTACCATCCATTCCCATTGACTTACAATAGTCTTTTGATCCATGAAGATATGTAGCTGATAAACCAACAATACTGACTCTATTTACATAGTTGTTGGTTTCTTCCCATGATCTAATTAACTTGCTTGCAGTGGAGCCATCACATTCGGGCATATTTAAATCCATAAATATTAAATCGTAATTGAACTCCTTTTGTTTTTCGAAACCTTCAAAACCATTGGTAGCAGTGTCACATTCATACCCTAGTTTTTTTAATTGTAATTTAACTACTTTTCTATTAACTGCATTATCATCAACAAGTAGTATTCTTGGTTTTTCTTTTGCTTTTACTTGTAGTTGATTTTGAGGGGAATTTTTTTGATCTTGGATTAGTTGTTTTTTTTCTAAGTTTTCTTTTTCTTTTTCTTTTTTATTTTGTTGATTGATTTTTTCAATTTCATTAATTTTATTATTTCTCTCTTGATCTTTTTCTGAAATTGTTGTGGAGATTGGGTCATTTATTAGTTCAATATTTGCTAAATTTAATGAATAACTGTCATCTTCATCACTACTACCAGAATAAATATTTAGCTTTGGCGAAGATCCGCTAATATTTAAATCTATTCGCATAGGTGAGACATTGAAGTCATATTTTTCTTTTTTCGGTGTAGTTGATCTCTTCCCATTTGCTGGTGATAAAAGGGGGTTTGCAGGAGAATTTGGTGAGTTTTCATTAATTAGGTTTAATATTTTAATTAATGAAGTTGATGATATTGGTTTCTTTATAATGAGGAAATCTCTTTTGGGTGGTAGTAGTTTAAAGTTACATTGATTGATTGAGAGTGCAACTATAACTTTTTTTGGATAATACTCTAGGAATTCTTTAACATATTTTGAAGATGTATCTACATCGTCCATAAATCTATTGCAAACAATGATTGCTGATAAGGTTGGGTCGAAAAAGTGTTTAATTTTAGGGTTTATATCTAAAAAGTCAATATTTGATGATGGATTGTTTGGATCTGATTTTCCATTATGGATAAAACCAAAAAATTCTTTAACTACATCTTCTTTGACTCCATAAATGTTTCCTCCAATTAAATGTGAGAACTTCTTTTCCATTAATGGTCTTGTAACATCATAGTTATCGACTATAATTACAGATTTGTTTTGTGAAAATATTTTATCTGGGAAAATTGTAGAAAGGGTATCTGGTCCAATTTCTTCAAATTCTAGTGTTACCGAAAACAAAGAACCAACACCGGGTGTACTTTTTTCCAATAATACACTTCCACCCATTAATTTTGCTAATTTGCTTGAAATAGCAAGACCTAAGCCACTACCTCCATATTTTCTAGTTGTTGAAGCATCGATCTGATGAAATGGCTCGAATAAATGTTTTCTTTGTTCTTCTTTAATACCAATACCACTATCTTCAATACCTATTTTAACCTTACACCAATTATGCTTTCTTGATAAAACAGATACTTTAAATATAATATGACCCTTTTCAGTGTATTTTACAGCATTTGTACCCATATTTAACATAATTTGAACAAGACGGTTAGGGTCCCCAACTAGTCTATGTGGAATATCTGGGTCAAAAAGTGTTACAATCTCAATTGGTTTATTGTTGATGGATACTCCAATAGTTTTAGCTATTCCTTCTAAGCAGCCAATAAAATCGAACTCTATCATTTCCAATTCTAATCTTGATGCTTCAATTTTACTGAAATCAAGTATATCTGATGTAATTGATAATAATAATTCGCCAGAACCAAAAATTGTTTCAGCGATATCGTGCTGTTCGGTATTTAGAGGACTGGTTTTTAATAACATTTCAGCCATACCTATTACACCATTTAGCTTAAAATAAACTTGTATTAGTAAAATGACATTTATCGATCTTTTTATTATTTAGAATAAAAATACTTACAGGTGTTCTAATTTCGTGACTTATTGTTGCCAAAAATTGAGACTTTATTTTAGTAGCAGCTACGGCTTGATCTCTTGCCTCCATTAGTTCTAAATTTCTTTTTTGTTCTAATTCTGATTTATTTTGTAGTTCAGTGTTCATTTCTTTCAATGTTATTTGATCTGATATATCTCTGAGAATTATCATAATACCATTTGAATTACCTTGGCTATCTCCAATTTCTTTTGCAAATATTTCGGCAGGATAATTGTCGCCATTTTCTTTAGTAATTGTAATTTCACCTATAATATTATTGTTATCAAAGCACACTTTGTCAAACACTTGCTTTATTTCATTTTTTTTGTCAAATTTCATTATATTATCACCGATCTGATAACCAAGTAGTCTATCATAAAATGCACCAATCTTTCTGATAATTATTCCTTGTTTGTTGACCAGACAGCTACATGATGGGGATTGGTTTAAAAGGTTTTTTGCAATAATTAATTCGTCAGATACCCTTTTCTTTTCGATTTCTATTGATGTTCTATTTACAATAAATGTTAAAATATTTGTATCTAATATATTGGGGTTTAGAGATTCATCACCAAATAATACTATATCACCAATGTATATATCATTTGTATCTCTTAATGGAATTTCCATATAACTCTTTAGTTGATATTTTTTAATAATATCTTTGTTTATAAATACTTGATTAATGTCACTATAAATTTAAAAATTTAATTAAAATCAGTATATATTATTATAATCTTTTGTTGTTATTTTAAAGATACATACTCATAATATACAATGTTTTGACTTGTTTTTTTTAATGAAAATGAAAAATTTTCATATTCTTGTGTTGGACTACAAAATGAAATGGTATCAAATCCTCCAGTTCCATTTATAACGCTAACACCTGCATACTAAATAAATTATTAGTATATATTTTTTTAATAAAATATTTAAAATATAAAAATTACCTTTGAATTAAAAACTTTACAAATTAACTTTGAAAATTTTGAAAAAAATAAAGCAGATGAGGAATATACTGAGCTTATATCCATAAAAATCTGAATTAAGTTTTCATTAAAAATTCTTGCAACTTTAAAGGTTGCTTGCTGTATAATAAATCTTTAAAAAAAAAATTAGTAAAGATTTTACAAAAGAAAAAATTTTAATAAAAGAATCTTACTTTAAAATTATATTATTGTTTAATTCGGATATATCTTCGATGTTCATTGGGTATAGTTTAATTTCACCATACAAGTTTTCGGTAGTTTGAAGTGGTATTCTTAAAGTTTTTTTATCTAAAAAAATAACCTTTTCCATTTTATTAAGTTTCCCACTATCGTATATATAATTAAAGTCATTAATTATCTGTTTATCTTTATATTCACAAAGAACTAAACAATTATTCGTTCCATTGAAAATTTGAGCAATTGTTATCTTTTCTAATTTAGGGAAATATCTGAGGAAATATTGAATAATATTTGAAAATAATTGGTCATTGTGCATGGATAAAAGAAATTTTTCTGATAATTCGTCTGCTTCTGAACTTTGATTAAATTTCTCTTCAGATGAATAATTGCTGTATTTTAAATTTGCATTTCCAATATTATGTGAAGATGCTGATATTAAATCATATGACTCTGTATTTGAACGTAAAAATTTTTGATTTTCTTGATTTAAATTTAAATTTACATTATTATTATTGTTATTGTTATTGTTGTTACTATTATTATTAATATTGTTATATAAACAGCCATTACAGCTGCATTGGCTATCAAGTGAGCTATCTGAAGAGGCTACACTGCTTTCTGATGCGCTGCTCTGTAAAGGTGGGTTATTTTGTGATAGGCTTAAATTATATTTTATTATTTTCTTTTTATTATTGCTAATATAATCTGAATTATATTTTTTATCAGTTTTCTTTAATAGTGGTGAACCATCCATCTTTTCAAAAAAACACTCCATTGTTTTTAAATAGTTATTTCTCTTTGGTGAAATATCTTTTTCATAAGTTGTAGAGATTGATTTTTTTTTATTTTTTTTATCTTCATTTTTTTCTTTTTTGTTGAGTTTAGAAATAATGGTATTTTCGATACTATTGTTATTATTGCTATTATCACTGCTGTTATTACTATTACTGGTACTTCCGTTTCTATTACTATTATTTTCTAAGTCTCCAATATCCATTGTGTGTTTTAAAAAAATAAAAAAATAAAAGTTTAATTTATTTTTTTTTTTTTTTTTTTTTTTATTTATTTATAATAATTATTTTCACATATATTAATATAGATACTATTTATTTTTATAAAAATAATATATATTGAAGTTATATGTTTGTTTTAAAATTTTATTAAATTAATTGAAATAAAAAATAAATTTTAATATAAATTTTATTTTTTTTTATTTTTTTTTTTATTATTTTTATTTTTATTTTTATTTTTTATTTTATTTAATTTTAAATTATAAACATTATTTGAAATTTCAAAAATCCTTCGAAATGGATATTGCGTTGTCCTATATTTTAAAATCTTTGCATTAGTTTCAAGTCTATTTTTATTTAATTTTTTCTTCTTAAGTAAATATTTTATAAATCTAAATTTCATTTGTTTTTTTTTAAGTTTTTTATAAATTAAAAAAATAAAAAAAAAA